GCAGCACGTGATATGTTAGGAAGGAGAATGCATTCCTTCTGCAAAAGTAAAAATGTCAAGTTCTCTAGTCCTGTCACTAGGCATTTTGGGGAGCAGAAGTATATCACTCCATAGGGAAATACTATGCCTAGTTATATGGTAAATATAAGATCTCTTGTTTTCTCAGTGTATACTGTTATGAAAGTATTGCTATAGACATGTTTTAAATGTTTATTGTTGTTGTTGTTGTTGTTTTTAATCCCAGGGTTTTATACGAATTAGCTGCTGCCAATACTGTAAGGTAGAATTTCACATGAACTGCTGGAAAAAGTTAAAAACAACAACTTTTAATGATAAAATTGACAAGGTAAGGCATAAGGTTAGATTTTTGTATTATGCTTATATATTAATATTTTCCCCCCCTCTGGAAATTTTCTTTAAAAAAGTCTTTACCAAAGTATATTACTTCCTGGGCATTATGGCCAGAATTAGAATGTTTACATTGCACTAATAACAAGGTAGGAAAGCAGTATGTTTATTTTTTCTGAGTATAAAGGCAATTACTTAACTTTTACATTTTTATCATTGTTATCAAGAGTAACCGTTTCAGTACTTGGTTTTAATGTCCATATCTTAAGTTATGCTCTACTATATTAGTTCTCCAGAGATTGTCCAGTTAGTCACCAGAAAGTATTGATGAACAATCAAAGTCTGAAAAAGTCTACTCCCTACCAGAATTTAAGAAACCAACTTAAAATTTATAATGTTATTTCTCTTGGGTGGGGGCTTCCAATTATCAAGAACACTTTGAAAGAGGGTATAATTTTATGGTCTAATTTACATCCATAAAATACACACAGTCTGTATGGAATTAGCCAAAGAAAACCTTTCCTCTTGGGGAAGGAAGAGGCTGTGTTATAACTTAGCAGTAGAAGTTGCTCCAGTTTGGTAGAGGCCGGTTTTCATGTAAGTAGAGAGAACGCTGTGACTCAGAACTTGCTGCAGAGTCACTTCTGCTCTCTTCTTTCTAGCATACCTTCTCCAGCTGTCCCCTTCCTTTAGTGGTCTCAGACATTTCCAGACTTGAAGTGCCCACTACACATCTTTGGATTGCTGTCTTGAGAATGTCGCCTCCTGGTTATCTCCTTGAAAGTGTTCAGTTGTTGGTCAGGGCTGAGTGACACAGCTCTGTCCTGTGTGTCTCATTCTGTTTCTGAAAGCAAGATGAAGAGTGGCCTTTCTTGGAACATGCTCCTGTGTCAGGAGGGAAGGGCAGTGGGAAGTCCATGAAAGGACTGAGCTGCTGCCTGGACATGGTTCTGGTCATGTGAGCTTTGCTTTGACCAAAGCAAGTCATATAGTCAGAACCACACTCAGAAGTACACTCTTTGAATGGTGGCATTAGGACTTGCTGAAGGAAGCTATACACTGTGTTTTTTTTGTTTTGTTTTGTTTTGTTTTTGTTTTTTGAGACTGGTTTCCCTGTGTAGTTTTGGAGCACGTCCTGGAACTTTGTAGACCAGGCTGGCCTCAAACTCACAGAGATCCACCTGCCCCTGCCTCTTGAGTGCTGGGATTAAAGGTGTGTGCCACCACTAACCAGCTAATACACCATGTTTTAGCAAGTCTTTGTGGTTATAATGGTGTACATGTACTGGTTTATCCACTGTACACATAACCTTCTTCTTTTAAATCAAAAGGATTTTCTACAAGGAATTTGTCTCACTCCTGACTGTGAGGGAATCATTTCTAAGATTATCATCTTTAGCAGTGGTGGTCAAGTTAAATGTGAAGTAAGTATTCAACAAATTACAAGCTTCATCCACGATACAGTTATTACACCTTTTGCAAACATGGCTTAACCGTGTGCAGCTGTGTGGTTGGATCTGCATGTTGACAGTGCAGGGGTGTCGCGGCGTGCACTGCGGCGAGGCGGTCTCGGTCATTGGTACTTTCTGGGAGGAGGGCTTTGTGTTTTAGTTCTGTTGTTTCTGCTCTTTGATTATATTTTCTCTTAAGTTCCTCAAGCTTAAGATTGATGGGGATGTGGGCTTTTAGGGAGCAGGAAGAGTACCTTAAATTATTTTGAACTTCGCAACCTGGGGGTACCAGCAGTGAGTAGCTGTAATAACATTTAGTTTCTTGGAGTTTCTGCTTGGTTGTAATTTTTTAAAACTTTTTCCTAAAGTATCTCCTGTTCCTTTTTGGTAAATTACTTCACCACAGCTTTCTGGCTTTTGGGGGGTGGGAGGTCAGCTGCTGTCGGTTGAGCGCTGCCTGGGTGTGCTTCCGAGACACTGGTTACTTGTGTTGTGGTGCTCTGTGTCACAGCAGTATGAGAACAGTTCTGGATATCTTTGTTTTATTTCAAGTTTGAACACAAGGTCATCAAAGAGAAGGCTCCTTCTAAACCTGTTCTGAAACAGAAGTGCTCCAGGTAAGACATGACATCAAGCAGTAGTTGATGATGTAGTCTCGTAGAAGAGAATTATATCAAAGTTGTGCACACAAAACAAATAAGTATTGAAAATGACTTTTATGCATACTTAAAACTAAAAAGAACTAGCCTGGAATGGTTAAATACTAAAAACTTGAATGAAAATCATTAGTGATTTATGGTTAATTTTATGACATTTCACATTGTGATGTATGTTTGTTAACAGATTTGTCACTTAGGTAGAAATGATAAATTCACTCTTGGTTGTTTTAGTTTTAATTCCAAAACATTTAAAAAAAATTTTTCATGCATTCAGCAAACATTTTCAACCAATAGCTAGTTCTTACCTTGAAATTCTCAGTGTATTATCTGAACTATTTATCTCTATGCATCTTTGTTCAGAACAAATAATTCCAATCCTTTTTTCTTTTCTTTCTTGTCGTGCTTCTTGTTTTTCATTCTAAAAGTGATTCTTCTCTCTTTTATTTGTATCATTTGTGACCAAGAAAAACAAAAGAAAAGATGGATAGAATTATTTGTTGGAAATGTTCCACTGTAACCACATCAACAAAATTATCATGTTGTAGGGCATTATTGGTTTATTATGCGATGGGGCTTTGAAATGAGAAGTTACACTTGATCTTGCGGACTTCTCTTTCCTTTTGTGCTGACCACACAGTCGTTGTACACCTAGACATAGCATCCCATCCGTATGGTTCCATTTGTTGCGTCCTTAGATAGAGCACTTACTTGTTGACATGCTTGTTTTTATAAAGTAACTTCCTTATTTTGACTGAATTGATGTTGTAGGTCAGTAGTTTTTGTGATGAACAGAAATTGTAGGACAGGTTCTAATTTTAAGAAAGTCCTAACCTATTGGTTGGAGAATGTTTCTATGCCAGACAAAGGAAAATAGCTCACTGAGTTCATAACAAAGATAAATTGTCACTGACTGTAAATGTCTATCAGCCTAGAGAAGTTAAGACTGAAAGAAGACAAAAAATTGAAGAGAAAGATCCAAAAACAAGAGGCCAAAAAATTAGCACAAGAACGAATGGAAGAGGACTTAAGAGAAAGCAATCCACCCAAAAATGAAGAGCCAGAAGGTATTCAGAAGTACAAGTTGTGAAAATCATGTATACCTGTCTCAAAGTACAAATACGAATTTTCATTTTATATGTCTTCATACTAATTTTTACTGAATCGAATATCGATTTTAGTTAGAGTTAATACCCCAAACCAGATTTTTTTTTTTAAGATTTATTTATTTATTATGTATACAGTGTTCTGTTTGTATGTATGTCTGCACACCAGAAGAGGGCACCAGATCTCATTATAGATGGTTGTGAGCCACCATGTGGTTGCTGGGAATTGAACTCAGGACCTCTGGAAGAGCAGTCAGTGCTCTTAACCTCTGAGCCATCTCTCCAGCCCCCAAACCAGATTTTTGTTAGTATCTTAATACTGCCCTCTACTAGCCAAATGGTAGATCATACCTTCAGTCCTGGCATTCAGGAAGCTAAGGAAGGAGCATTGCCATGGCTTTGAGGGCAGCTTGGAATACATAGCAAGACTACTTCCAAAAAGCAAACCCAAAACCAAGTACAGCCTGCTATTACTCTGGACAAGTAGGCTGGTATGGAGCAAACTTACTCAAAAGCAAAACCCCAGGGAGCCGGCTCCAGGCAGACCACTTCTCTAGTGATGGCAGCATCCCTGAGCTGCTGCTTACCATGTGGACAGGGCACTGTGAGTTGTACTCAGTGGATCTCAGTTCAGCATCCTGAACGAAGTTAGTAATTATCTGGACTAATGTTGAGTTCTGAGAGTCAGCTCTTAAGTCAGTTCAACAGTTCAGCCTTTTAGTTGATTCTCATTACTGAGCAGCACAGGAATGTCTTACAGGCTGTTTTTCTGGTCCTGGGAATAGCTCACACATTTATTTTCAGTTTTGAGTTGAAATAGCGTTTCCCCATTTTCTATTGTCTATTCCTCAAATGAAATATTTTCCATTTGCAGTTTGAGTTTTCATCTGCCTAGTATTTGGGAAATGCCTCAAAAGTAAATAAATCAAAATTATCTTGCATACTGAATTTTTTCAGCAATATATTAAGTTTGTTTGCTTCTTCCATACTAAACACATTACATCTAAAGTTTATTGGCCAAGCTAGGTTAGAATATTTGAGAGAAGAAAGCTTATTTTAGAGGGAATAAGGTTTTAAATGCTGTTACATAAGTGATATGAAAAGAAGATCGTAAAGTATTTGTTCTGGGAATCTGGAGTGTGTGGATTGAACCCAGGTACCTGGCAAGTGCAGTGATCAGGGCTGAGCCCAACCCTCTGCTTAGTCTTTATTTGAGGCCATTTCACTCAGTTGCTCAGGCTGGCCTTAGCTGCTGATGCAGAACTTACAGTCAGAGTGAGCATTGAACTTTTGGTCCTGCCTCAGCCTCCCAAGTAGCCTTTTTTTTTTGCTCCTCATTTTTTGGCTTAATTGAACTTTGTTGCCTTTTCTGAGATACTATTAAATATGTGTATACCAAATATAAAGTTTCCTGAGTTGTTCATGTCAGTAACAAATCGGACCTTACCAGGCCGGGGAGACACCATAATCACAAAGTTGGTTTTTCCAGGGCAAGGCTGATCCATTGCCCTCTGGATGTGCTCATCCCTCTGATTTCCCCAAATGCAGGAAAACTGACTGCATAATCTGTGGTAGTGGATAGTGACTGCATTCACCATCTCTCCTGTAAAAACAACCACAAACCCCAGAAATCATCTGTGCTTTATGTTACTGTGCATGCTACATTATCTTCTTGCAAGTTTGTATAATTGCAAACTAGTCCTACTTATCCCTTTCCCTTTGTTTTCCATAGAAACCGTAGACAGCGGCCAGAGTTGTCAGTTTCTTGATGATAGAATCCTGCAGTGCATAAAGCAGAATGCGGACAAGATTAAATCTGGTATATTGAATACTTCGACGCTTCTCAAAGAGCTGCTTTCTTGGAAGGTTCTGAGCACAGAAGACTACACAACATGTTTTTCTAGCAAAAATTTTCTCCGTGAAGCAGTAGATTATGTTATCCGTCACTTGGTTCAAGAAAAGAACAGAGTAAAGACACGGATATTTCTGCATGTTTTGAGCGAGCTTAAAGAGGTAGACCCCAAGTTGGCTCCCTGGATCCAGAGACTTAATAGCTTTGGTATGTACCTTTAAATTCTAGAGTGCTGTTGTTTAGAAGGAAGGGCAAATGCAGGCCTAAGACCCCTTTTTACTTTATTGTCTTATTACTTTTTTTTTTGGTTTTTCGAGACGGGGTTTCTCTGTATAGCTTTGCGCCTTTCCTGGAACTCACTTGGTAGCCCAGGCTGGCCTCGAACTCACAGAGATCCGCCTGGCTCTGCCTCCCGAGTGCTGGGATTAAAGGCGTGCACCACCACCGCCCGGCTGTCTCATTACTTATGATGTTTTAAATGCATGGCTGCATTTTTATATGGTTAAAGATTCTCTCCCCACACAGGTGTTTTTAGGTTATACTATAAACAGGTTGTAATATACTCTTTCAAAAGATGAGAATAGGAAAGGCGGGCTTAATTAGGTAAGCTGTTGGTGACTGTGTAAACTAAGTCAGAAGTAGATCGAAATGCATGCAAAAGTGTACTGTGCAGTCTGTCAGTACAGTGGTTGTATGTGTGCAGAAGGGTACTGTGCAGTCTGCTTTGCTGAGAAACAGAAATGGAAAATTCAGATTCCATGGAAAAAAGTTTAAAAGAACCAGTAGGTGGGGCTAATTGCCAAGAAACTGGGGCACTGTACTTGCCTGTTGTGAATGGCAGGGTTGTACAGTGCTTTCCTTCTGTTCTGACTTTGCTGATTTGACTGAGAGAAGGAAAAAAGAGGAAACCTTCCTCAAGTGCAGGCCAGAATTGTAGATGCCATGGTTGCTTGACACCAGGTGAGGATGCTCTTGGCCTTAGGAAGGCGGAGTTAGGATGATGTCTAGAATGGTGACTGGTCAGGCACAATACATGATCAGTTAGCAGCTGTTGATAAAGACTAGGAAGGGAACCCTCAGAAAAGAAAACAGTGCCTTTAAAATAGGTCCAGGGGTGCGGCCTGCTTGGCCTCTGACAAAGACCTAATGATGTAAGGTCTATGCTGGAAAGCTAAACACCTAGATTTGCTTAGGTCTCATTGGTTTTGGGTCCCAGAAAATTGCTCCTAAATGATAAGGTTGTCACTGGCGTCTATCAGATAAGCAAAGTAAGAAGTCACTGCTTACATTATTTGCTATAGAGGATAGACTCAAGAGTTGAAGAAGTAGTCTGATCTGGGTTATGCTACAGAGGCTAGAGGACCAACCACTATTCTTGGTTGTAAATGCATTATTTGAGGCTTGCAGTTCCTCACTAGCAGGCAAATCCAAGTTCTTTTGATGTAGTCCGAGTTTATTCTGAAGACAGTAAGTATGTACGCATAGTTTTACGTTCTAAAGTGAGCTTAAGCTCTTCTTCTAACCGTTACACATTTACTTAATAAAGTAAAAAACATATTTACTTAATAAAGGAAATAATTTCCAGTTCATGGAATTTTACTTCCTTCTCACAAAAGTCCATATAGTGGAATCACTCATGTGTATGTTTAATTTAGAGGCCAATTTATTTGATCAGTGAAAAAGGGATGGAGGAAGACATAGATTGCAATGAGAGAAAATGAGCTTTGCATAGTGATACTGTCTGCTTACATTCACACGATTTGTCCCTATTAGAAACCGGATAGGGCATGTGAGTGCATCTCACTGGCAGCTCTCTGAAAGTTTTATTAAAGGTATAGTTTATGCCACCATGGATTCTTGTGTTTAAAGATGCAGATTTCTCATATCACATGACTTCAATAAGCTAAGTATTTTGTCTAGAGGAATCAGCCGCCAGAATAATTTTAAGGGAATGATCTCTTGTTGACTTGACACCTAGGCCTATGATGAGGGTGCCTATGAGGTATGAAAGAAAGTTGATCCAATTTTGTTTTGCTCTTTGGAGGCATTAGTAAGGAGTGGGCTTCCTTGTCACTTATGTGGAGTATACGGGGTTGCAGGAAGAGGGTGAGAAAAGCCTTGGTATTTTGGAAGATAAGAAGCAACTCTTGGAAGTGTTAGAGGAGTCTATCCAAAATAGTTCTTTTCAAGGCATTTGGGAAGATTTGTGTATTACTGACATCTTGTTGGTATGAAATACATGCAGGAAAACATTGTAAAATCTTGGCAATTCAATTAGAAATGAAAGTCAAAAATTAGTGAACAGTGATACATTTTTAAGGGAATTTAGTGTTAATCATATTTTAATGATAGAACTGTTTGGTTCACCTTCCTCAACTACTAAAGAATTGTTATAATTACCATCTCAGTGTTAAATCATGTTTGTGAAATGCACAATAGTTTTGACTAATTTATCAAGTATTTACATATTTTCACTGAAAATGTATGCAGACTATAAATAGAACTGTTCAAAGGATGTGATGGATTTTGCTGAGGAAGTTTTAGCTTCTGTGATTTGGGCTTTGTGTGTTGCAGGCTTAGATGCCACAGGACCGTTTTTTACTCGGTATGGAGCATCTCTCAAGGAACTTGATTTTAGCGTCATGACTTTCCTCTGGAATGAGAAATATGGCCATAAACTGGGTTCTATAGAAGGAAAGCAGCTCGATTATTTCTGTGAGCCAGCGTCAATGAAGGAAGCCCGCTGTTTAATATGGCTGCTGGAAGAGCACAGAGAGAAGTTCCCAGCCTTGCACAATGCTCTGGATGAGTTCTTTGATATCATGGGTATGTGAAACAAGTTTGGGTCTGTATTATCTCCTGGTGTGGGTCGGGAAAAAGCTATGAAGGACCTAGCTTATTACATACTTAATGACAAAGACGGTGATTTTTTTGTGGCTTAGATGTTCGTGTTTTCTTGCTGGGTGGAGTGGGAGTGGTTGAGAGTCTTAATGGAAGGAAATGGGAAGGATGCTGAGGACTTCAAATGAGGTCCTGCCTCGGATTCGTCCTCTGTGAAGTCTGGAATAGGGATAGTCTGAGGGGGGCTATGGGTGTGGAAGTGGAAGTGGACAGGTGTGTGTGTAGTTTAGAGACTATGGCGGGAGGAAATGGACTAGAGTTAAGGTTGGCGGAACAGCCAGGTAGATGTCTGTGGGACATCCTGTGGTAATGGTTATTCTCCCCTTTCTCTTAGCCTCCAAGTCTGTACATTGTTAGGCATGAGCTTTCCGGCTTCCTGCTCTTTGGTTTTGAGTGTGCGTTAGGACACTTGTAGCACTGTCATGTGTCAGAAAGTTTAGTGCAGTGCAAGGCACTTACTTATGTTTGGGGTTTTTTGGGGGGGGTGTTGTTTGTTTGTTTTTTGAGACAGGGTTTTTCTGTGTAGTTTTGGGGCCTATCCTGGATCTCGCTCTGTAGACCAGGCTGGCCTTGAACTTACCAAGATCCTTGTACCTCTGCCTGCCGAGAGTGCTGGGATTAAGGTGTGTGCCACCACGCCCAGCTTATGTTTGCTTCTTATTAAAGAGTGTCCCTTCCTGACTGAAAGAGATATAATATTTAATAGCCCAGACTTACTGCCATTAGTTCAGGGCTTGTAATAGCAAAACGGAGCTATTACAAATAGCTCACAGACGTGCCGCACAAGACCCGCAGCACGGGTCCCTCTCATGTGTACCTGACACACGTAGTACACCTAGCTGCCTGTGGCTCTGCCTGTAGTCACAGAGGAGAAGACATCCAGTTTCTGGCCATCTTACCAAGTCTGACAGCTCTACCTCCCTTTCTCACCTGAGAAATATTTTAGTTTTATCTTGAGAAATATTTTAGTTTTATCTTGTCTTGTTAAAACTTTTCAAAATCCATTGGTCCTGTGTATCAGGATATTTAGTATCTTTACCGGTGCTACAATAGCAACCCTCAGCGCTCCTGAACAGGCATGCATACTTCAATATGGAATTTTATACAGATAACCAAAAGCCCCTTAAAAGAAACATGGCTGAACCACTTTCCTGATGGTCTCATATTTATATTGGCTAACACATTCTGTATATCTAAATTTTAATCAAGAAACTTAGAATCAGTCTTGACTCTTTTTTATTACTATTGTTACAACTACTTTGTCCCCAGTCCAAATAAACTTTATCTTTGATCTGTCCTTTTCTGTTCATCTCATTTCTGTAAGCCAAAACCTTCATTATGTTTTCCATGACCAGATTATTACAGTAGTCATGGCATTGGCACCTACATTTCTAAGCCCATCATATTGCCTCCGGTAACTCTTGTGGAAACAGTAACTATTCCGTGTGGGAAGCATTGGCTGATGTTGCCCAAATGTTACAGTCCTGTCATCATTCCCTGTGCCATCTAAGCACGTCCTTCACTGGACTGACCAGACCTTTCCTTGGCATCTGACATGGCTACACTGTTTCTCTAGCCATCATTTCGAGTTGCCTGTTCACTTCAAGGCTGACCTACATATCCTGTCCTCCTCATTATCCTGTCCTCCTTAGAGCCCTCCCTGGTCCTCCATGGGCTTCTTCCCAAAGCCTTACTAATCTTTCATCTTCGTTGTTGCTCTGTTTCATTGTGGTGTCTGTAACGCTGAATTACAGGGTTGTTTGGTCCTTTTCTTTCTTTGGGTAGTAGACCACAAACTCACCGGCACCAGGCGTCTCTGTGTCCCCGCGTCCTGGCATAGATGGCAT